ATTAATTCATACATATACCAAATATGCGTCGCTCCTGTAAAGATTGATATCCTCTATAGGCAGTCCATCATACTTAGATAAGACAGGACTGTTATTCATAGAAAGACTTTTTTCATCCTTCATACCTGGTTTATAAGTAGGTTGCTGGTGTAAGCACTTTGTTTGAAAAGGATACATTAAGAAATCCGTTGGAATTTAATGCCTAGGAAATAGCTTAATCCCCCTAGGTCCTTCAAAGAGAAGTTTTTGTTCAACTTACTGATGCATTTATGTACCTCCTGAGCATCGCTGCCTGTAATGAGCATTCCATCCACATAAGCTAACACAAATATTGAGCAACCATTCTCATGCTTAAAGTGGATAGAGTTATCAACTTGAAACAATCTAAACCCCATGTGCTTCAATACACTTCCCAACTTGCTATTCCATGTTCTAGAAGTATGTTTCAAACTATAAATGGATTTGGGCAATTTGCACACCATTCTCTTCTCAATATCATGCTCAAACCCAGATAGTTGCTTCATGTAGATTTTAGAGTTACTTGATCCATTAAGGAAAGCATTATCTACATCTAGTTTCCTGATGGGCCATTTCTGTGATAAGGCAATAGTTAAGATAATTCTGATGCTAGTTGGCTTAACCACAGGGCTGAAAGTCTCTTGGTAATCAAAACCATCTGTTTGAGTGTATCCCTGTGCCACTAATCGTGTTTTATGCTTAGCAAAGGAGCCATATGCATTTCTTTTGGTCTTAAAGACCCACTTGCACCCTACCACTGGTCTGTTGCGTGGCAGTTGGCATAGCTCTTGTGTGTTGTTCTTGATGAGTGCATTGTACTCTTGCTGCATGGCATTATTCCACTCTGGAGTAAAAAGTGCATCCTTATAGGATCTGGGATCCTCTAATACATGCAAGACACTTGTAAGAGTCTTAGGTTTAAAAATTCCAGCCTTGGACCTAGTAGTCATATGCTAACCTTCTGCATGTTCCCCACTGAGATTAATCGCATTAGGATCAAGTATATAATCATGCTCAATTGGTAAATCTATAGTAGTATGCCGTCCTTGATCAGAAAAGATAGTTGTTTGGGTGTCTTAGTTGGAATATGAATGATTATTGATTGGTGGAGTGGTCTCAATTCTACTGTTTTGTTGGGAGAGAATGATGGGATGGTGAGTGTATATGAGAATCTTGTGGTGGTGGGGGTATAGGATTTTCAGCATGTATCTGATGAAGAGTTGTTGGATTAGTTGTATTTTGCAGTAAAAGGATTGGATGTGTATTGCTTTGAAATGTGGCCTTTATATAGTAGTGTTTATGATGTTTATATGGAAGCAATTTCTTATCAAACAAAATGTGTCTAGTAATGATGATCCTTCTATCAGGAAATAAGTCCCTATAACCCCTGTGTTTAGTGTTGTAACCAAGGAAAGTAGCCTCAACACTTTTTGGTTGCAATTTTTGCTTATTGTAAGGTTTCATGTAAGGAAAGCAAAGACATCCAAACATTTTGAGGTGTTGGTAGCTAGGGGAATGACCATAAATAAGTTCAAAAGGTGTTTTATAGCCAAGTTTCATTGAAGGTGTTCTATTTATAAGGTAACCAACACTTGTTACAACATCATCCTAGTGATATTGAGGCATTTCAGATTAGATTAAGATTGACAAAGCTACTTCCACAATGTGTCTATGTTGCCTATGAAGCAAGAAATTTTGTTGCGGGTGTATAGGGACATGAGAAACTATGAAAAAATCCTTTCTCATTTAGGTAAGAGGTCAATCCCAAAAACTCTCCTCCAACATCACTTTGCAAACATTTGATTTTCCCTTGGTATTGATTTGCAATGAGGTATGATTGTGTTTTAGGAGATAAATTCAGGTATGTCTTGTAGCTTGGTCAACAAAACTCACATAGTAATTGAAGCCATTAAAGCAATTTATTGGACAAGACCCCCATACATCAGCATGCATGATATCAAGAGATTTGAGGTTCTTTTTGTTAGATATGTTGTAAAAGCTTGACTTTCAGATATGGACAATACCATTTTGATCTGACAATCATGTTTTAGTCAAAAGACATATGCTTGCAGTTTATTTATTTATGCAATCGTTCTCCTTGTCTTACATTGAGATAGTGTGGTTCGTCGTGTCTCGAACAGAAAGGTCACCTATCAGTTCCTTGTAAGACTAAATTATTCGTTCACAGTCTAGACTGGCAGTGAGACCCCACTTGGAAAAAGACTGTAGTGTATTCTTGTTTCACTTGATCTTTGATAGGAGAACTACACTAGTACTTATGTTAAGTATTGAACAGGACCATGGAAGTATAAGATTATAAGACTCACTGACCGTTGTTGTAATCTAGACCTTCAGTGATTGATGCGTTCTCTAAAGCTGTAAGATAATATAAAATGGGCATGTATATTTATTACTTATTTATTTGATTTACCAAGGGTGATTTCTATTCTGTTAGGATGACATACTCGGTATTTTGGTAAATGAGGATATTTATATAGTGTGCTGTTACAAATTATTTACGATCACTATGTTCTAGTGCGCTGGATTGATGAAGTCCCCGAAATGAGCTCAGAAAGGAATATTATGTTAAACCCTGCAGGTGGATGATTATCCGACATAATGATTAAAGATCTGAGTGGTACTAATTTCGGAAATGAATAAGAAGTTGGTTAATTACTTTGTCAGTAATTTAATTAATCGACAGACATTATATCTTAAACATAGGGAGGTAAATCAGTAAATTGGATTAATATTTATTAATCAAGTGGAGGTTTGATTTAATTGATTAAATTGGAGCTAAATGGAGAGAACAATAATAATACTCTAGTGGGATTATTATTATTTAATTGTAATTAGGATTTTATGAATTAATTTTATTCCATAAATAATATTCCATTAGTAGGAGAATATTCCTTCTAGAATGTTACCTAGGGTTAGGAGACTAAAGAGTTTTCTAGAAGGTGCTGTTGGGAAGAAGGAGTTTTATCTTAAGATGGAATAGCATATGGAGTGGAATTAGGATTCCTTTGTCTAAAGGGATAAGCCCATACTTAGCACTTCCTTAAGGACCCTAATGGAGCCTATAAATACACCATGTCCCAACCTCTTGGAACACATACTACGACCGATTTTTCCATCTTCATAAGAGAGAAAAATTGTCTTGTTCGAGTGTTTGGGAGATTCAATTAATCGCACCACCAAGATTAATTGAAGTAGGTGTTTAGGTAATCCGTTAGAAGATTTTAAGATGATATTTATCAAACCATAAAGATCCATTAATTCCGGCCACCGCCGACCGCCGCCGTCAACCACCGCCGGAACTCGCCGCCGCCGCCTGTCACGACCGGAACTCGTCCCTAGCCCAGTCGTACGCTAACGCGAGCACCGCCCGCAACCGCGCACAGTCGAACCTCGTGCCCAGGTCCCAGCCGCGAAGCCCCGCGCCGCAGTCCCTGCTCGTGGTCTGTGTCGATCCCGCTCCCAGTGCCCGTGTTTCACGCGCCCGCCTCACCGCGATCGACCAGGACTCCTCGTGCGCCCAGGAAACGTGCCACGCACGATCCGTGTGAAGCCCATACCTCGCTCGTCTAGTCCTCGACGACCTAGGACTCCCGCGACTTCACACGCCCGCGCAACCAGCACCTGCCCGAGCCTCTCCGCACACCCGCGCGTCACGACCCAACGCGACCAGTCAACGATAGAAACTCGCGCCTGTCCGAACCCGGTCCCGACCAGCTTTCGTCCGCGACCCGAGACCGTGACCGAACCGCTGCAACCCGACCCGACTGAGATGCGATCCGAACCTAGCTCAACTGGCCCGAGCCCGACAAGTTCGATCTGATGATCCGTTCGCGGTTCAACACTCGATTAGAATCGAGAAAGGCCAAACCCTTCAACCGATTGGGTTGTGGTAATTAGACGATCTTCATTAAAGGAAATCAGAAGCGTTTCTGAGTCGGCAAAAATTTTAAAAGGTAATGTCCTAATCCTAACTATAGATTCCGCTGCGTTAGGATTTATTTTGATAAGTTTAATACTGTGCTCTATTGAATCTGAAAAAGGTAACTTATGGAGTTTGGATTTTAAGCAGACATGGCATAATGGTTGTTCTTTATTCTCATAAAAATTGATATTACAACTCTGCAAGACTTTCTTAACAACCTCAAATGAAGCATGTCCTAGTCTAGAGTGCCATAAACCTAAGACATCTTTTCCTTCTGCAGAGTTGATTGAGGGGCAAGAATTGAATTCTGGTAGGATGGTACTGGTGAAGCTAAAAGGTTTTTGAACTATCTTCTTTGCTTTGGCCTTGGTAAGACCAGATCTATAGAGTCCTTGAATAAGTTTCCCCTTAAGAACAACTTTTCCCGTGGCTAAATCCTTAAAAAGCATAAAGTGGGGTGAAATTCAAAACAAGCACCATTATCTCTAGCAAATTGAGACACCCTAATCAAATCATAGGTGATATTGGCAACATGCAAGAGGTTCTTAAGTAAGAAGGTTTATCTTTCATAATTTGGGGGCATTACTACAGAATTACCAAGGTGAGCAATCTTCATACCTGAACCATTTGCAACTTTCACCCTTTCATTCCCTTGGTATTCTGTAGCAATGGTGGCTCCACTGTCTGGATGCCTTCCTACATCAAAGTTGGGATCAGTGGTGCTGTTGGAGGTGGTGTTTGTTGTGTTGATGTTTGGAGTGTAGGAGGAGTTCTATTGGCCATTGTTCTTGTTTGGCACAAAGTTCAGGTTGGCCATGTAGTAGCGCTTGTCTGCAGTATGATTTGTGTAGAAATAAATCTGACATATGGGACCATTCTTGTATCTACCCCTTCTACCTCTGCATGGGCCTAACCTTCGTTTTACTCTATTTCTAGTGAAACCTCCATTGTTTTGCCCTTTGCCTCGAACTTGATTGGGTCCTTCTCCTCTTCTGTAGTTCCACCCTTGGCCTTGAGTAGCCATGTTCACTGAGAAACATTTCATTTTGCTTGTTGTTCTCATTCGATCCAATCTATTCTCAAAGCTGAGAAAGAAGGAGTGTGCTTCTCCGAGATTACAAGGCTCGAACCTTGTAATGGTAGCAACAATGACTGGGTTGAAATCTAGTCCTAGTCCAGCAAAGACATGAAGCACATAGTCAAATTCACTGATCTTTTATCCAGTTGAGGAGAGTAGGTGTCATTTACCCGATTATGGAATTGGGGCCGAGGAACGGGCTAGCATTTATCCGTATATATGATGTTATTGGGATGAAGACAAAAGCAAGCTTTGGGGGCAAGTCGGGCCAAGGTGAACCCATTGAAGATGAGGAGGCGGCCCAACTGGGCGATAATCCAATTTGGTGGGCTAGTGCATGTTCAGCCCATTATCTTATCAGTATTATTATTACCATTTTGCTTTAGTATTTCCTTTATTATTAGCATGTGTTGGGAAGTGGAAATATGAGGGTCCCACTCATTGTAGTGGTCTTTTATGGCTCAATATTGTGTATGAGGAAATTAATCAATCACTTGCAACAAATTTCCTATCTCTCTCTTCACTCCCGTAGCTCTCTCTCTTTGCGCTCTCTCTCTCTCTCAATCATCTTCATTATCCCCCTCTTTCGTCTCTTATTTACAGAAAAATACAAAAATAAATCATAAAAATAGCAAGATCATAACAATTGATATCACGAGCGGACGATCCTCGAACGATGGCAAACGAACTTCTTCTCGATCACATAGAGCTGCAACAAAAACATTTGGATAAAAAAATGCAGCTGGAAATTCTGAAAAGGGAGGCCAGTTATTCAAAAGTTTTGCAACAAATGGATGGTATGAAATTTAATCTCCAGCAGCAAAAACAGGGAATAAATCAGAAATTTGATCGATGCTGTGAGTTACTTGAATCCATACAATTTCTCATTAACAATCTACAACAAAAAAGGCAGAAAAAATCAACGCCCTCAATTCCAACATTTTTCCATACCACCATTCCCAGCCCTCACTACCCCTGATTCTAATATAAAATTTTCTATCAATATAGAACCCCATCAAACTTCCCCAGAAAATCACAAACAAAATTTCTCACATGTGTTCTTAGCCAACTCTGAAGCCTACAGTACTTCTGGGTCTGAACTTAAAATCCCCAGCCTTCAAAAATCACAACCAATTCTTCATGAAATTCAGGAAAAGAATGCGCAGCCAAATTCAAGTGAAAATCAACAAGGTAATCCAACACCACAAAACACCACAATTCAGACCCCAAAAAACCTAAAATCCCTCTCCATTTTTCAAAAACATTCAGAAGAAAGGTACTTACTGATGCAAACAGTACCACCAATTGAAGTGTTCGACTTGTCTGGAGATGGTGAAAATGGACTGGTCAAGGAACACATTGGTTAATTAATTGAAGCCCCAAAACTTCTTGAGCAGTTCCTCGAACTAGGGCCAAATTCAAGGAATTTGGAGTCTGAAGATCCATTTTGCCTGGGATTGTTCCACGAGAAAAGGAAAATGTCGAGAAGGTCGTGCTTCGTGATAGGCCGGGGAAGATGAACACACAGAAAGGACGGTGTAAAGAGGGCGAGCATGAGGCTCCGCGGCGGCCTCGAAGAGGCTTAGTCTCATCGGCTTCCGAAGACTGTTGGCCGGAGTGGATCTGCTACTGGTTGTGGATTTCTGGTAAAGAGTGGAAGATGACCGCAACTTCGAGGTCTATTCGATTTTCCGGTGGGCTTTATCAGAATTTGGGTTGGGTGGCTAATTTCATAATAAAATTGGGCGTAAGCTGAGGCTATGGAAGGGATGTGAATCCAGGCAGTCGGCGGGAAGCTTGCTGTCGCCAGATAGCTAAGGAACGTGGGTCGGCGGCGCTGATTTCGAACCTCGGTTGTGCAAATTTTCTACCCTAGCCATGGATGACTCTACAGAACGAAAGAAGAGTCGCTATTCCTACATCGAGACTCGATCTGGAGGGAGATTGAATTGTCGGCGATATTCGAGGTGTGGTCGCGATTTAGCAGCGACGACGACGAGAAGGCACGGGAGAGGAACCCTAGCATGGAGGCACTTATGTTCTTCCCTATTGGGAGTGGCGGCGACGACGAACTGACAAAGCGGGAGGGCTCGCCGTTGAAGCGGCCAACCCCTCGGTGGCAAGAATCAGCGTGACAATGACGGCCGATTGAAGTCTCAGATCTGTCAAATTCCTATAGTTGGAAGCTTTGTATCACCGGATCGCTATAGTACGGGGGTGGCCAGCGCCGGATTTCGAATTTCAATTGAGCAATTTTTCTTCTCTAGCCATAGATGACTCGGGAGAAAGGAAAGTGGTTGTGGGCTGTGGTTTCTCTTTTATGCCAATATCAGGTGGTACGGATGTGCCGGAGGCATGGTTGCAGCTAGGCGACGACCGGAGGAGACGATTGAAGCCGCGATCTACTTCTGATAGAGGAGAGAAGAATGACCGAAGCTTCGAGATTTGGATTTTTAGTGAGCTACATCAGAATTTGGGCTGTGTATATTTTGTGCATTGGTGGGCCATGGTCATTTCTATAGCAATTGGGTTGAGCCATGTTATAAATGGCTTTGGACCTATGAGTCTCCGGGACGAAACTCTTTCGAGAGGGGAGTATTATCATGTACCCGATTATGGAATTGGTGCCGAGGGACGGGCTAGCATGTATCCGATAATGATGTTATTGGGATGAAGACAAAAGCAGGCTTTGGAGGCAAGTCGGGCCAAGGTGAACCCATTGAGGATGAGGAGGCAGCTCAACTGGGCGATAATCCAGTTTAGTGGGCTAGTGTATGTTCAGCCCATTATCTTATTAGTATTATTATTACCATTTTCCTTTAGTATTTCCTTTATTATTAGCATGTGTTAGGAAGTGGGAATATGAAGGTCCCAATCATTGTAGTGGCCTTATATGGCTGGATATTGTGTATGAGAAAATTAATCAATCACTTGCAACAAATTTCCTATCTCTCTCTTCACACCCGTAGCTCTCTCTCTCTCTCAATCATCTTCATTATCCCCCTCTTTCGTCTCTTATTTACAGAAAAATACAAAACAAATCATAAAAATAGCAAGATCATAACAGTAGGTCACAAATTGACTAGACCTTGATGAGATATTCTCTCATACTCATAGATCCTTTCTTCAAGGTTTGCAGCTCTAATATGTATTACATAATCTTCGCAGCATTTTAGCTGTTGAAGCTTGTCTCAAGTGATTTCTAGATCTGCAGAGAGGATTCTAAACTCACAGTGGTAATAAGAACACTTTCACTGAGTAAGGAGAGCAACCAAGATACAAGAAGTTGGTCTTGTCTAATCCAGCTGGAGTAGGTTGTGTTAAGAGTTGGGATTGTGTTCTCTCCAATGGTGAACATTTATGGTGGTGGAAGACATCCATCTACATATCCTTCCAAATCATATCCACGAGCTGCAGCTAGAACCTATTATCTCCATATCAGGTAGTTGCCATATGAAAGCTTGACTGAAGTCAGTTGGCTTTGGGGTTTTATGATGGATAGGGTTGTAAACGAGCCAAACCGAGCTCGAGCTTAACGTGCTCGAGCTCGAGCTTGAACTCTTAACGAGCCAAGACGAGCTCGGCTCGTTAAATAAACGAGCCAAAAATTGAGCTGCTCGTTAAGGCCTCGAGCTTTAACGAGCCGAACTATAAAAAATTATATAAAAATTAACTTTTCGAGCCTTGTCAAGCCGACCTGAGCTCGAGCTTGGCTCGTTAAGGCCTCAAACTTGAGCCGGAGTCAAGCTCGAGCCGAGTCGAGCCAGACTCATTTAATTTAACAGCACTAATAATGGATATGGTTGTGTCTGCCATGGTTTGGGGTTAAAGAAAAAACTGAATAAGAAAAGGGATGGCGTACCAGAGTCAGATCTTTCAACTTGCTATGATACCATGTTGGTTTTATTGAGAATCGATCAACATGAACAAGAAAAAAAGAAAGAAAACAAGCAAGGGTTTTCATTCAAGAGCAATGTTTCATTTTCAGTGTTGTTCTCTTTTGTAGTCCCCCGTTCGATTCATAGAATTTCTCGGATTTATTCTATTTATCGGAATTCTATTTTATTTAATTTGCTATGTCTTATTTATGTTTTTTTTTTTTTCGTTTCGGAACGATAGAGATGATATATATAAACTCGAAGAGAAAAATGTTCTAATACAATAGGAACAATCCTACTAAACGGAAATGACAAATTGGGAGGCACTTAAAAAGCACCTAGAACCTCGACTAACTCTAGCCAAAGTAGAAACAACAAAAACAAACTGAAGTTATGCTTCTATCCACTGCCAATGGCCTAGCTAGAAAGCATTAGCTTCCACAACACCAGAAAATAAAAACATCAACTAAAACAACTGAACAAACTGAAACAACAAGAAGATGAATTAAGCTGCTGAGGAGAAGTCCATCTAGTCTTTATGAGCTGCCTTGATGACAATATGCTCAGGAATGAGTGAGTACTGGAATACCCAGAGATTTCGAGATTTCCATAGCCACCAGAGCAAGTAAGTTGAAAGCTGAATTCTAGCCACAACAACATCAAATTGTTTAATTGAGCAAACCTGCTGCCACCATGATATGACTGAATAGGTGTGGTGTTTGAGGCCATCCCATTGCACTAAAGCTATATCCCAAAGCTTGTTGGCTCTTGTACAAGAGAAGAGGATGTGTTCAACCGTCTCTGGATGATCATCATAGATTGTACAAGCAATGCTAATGTTCATTCCCCTTTTCTGCAAATTAACTGCCACAAATAAGGTACCTGAAAGGCATTTCCATAGGAAATGCTTTATTTTCCCAAGAAATTTCAAGTGCCAACATCTGTAGAAGATCTGATGAGGTGATAAGATGCTGGAGCTGGTTTCAAGAATATCCATCTGAAGGAATTTTTTAGCAGACATGTATTTGTATGTGGTGGACACTGAGAATTTTCCTTTAACATCAAGTCCCCAGAAAAACCTGTCTGATCTTGCAGGGTATTTGGAGAATAGCTTCACTGTCAGTGGAGTCAAATGCTTATTTAACCAACCAAGCATTTCAATCTTGTCCATTTGTCTGCAACAGGTCTTTGACCTAAATCAAGTGCCCTCTGGCAACGTCAATCAAAGTTGGCTTTGGTTTATTTAGATGAGGAACCTAGTTCAGGTGATCTATTTTGGTAGAAGAACCATTCCTGATTTCAATCCTAACACATTTAGCAAATAAAGGCATCACAACAAGCCAGCTGTTCCATATCTAAGACCCTTTTTGAGTTATTTCAGCACTAAGAATAGAGCCATTAGGGTAATACATGTCTTTAAGAATTTGACTCACCAGAAGATTAGGATTTGAGGCAATCCTCCAGATTTGTTTGCAGATAAGAGCCTCATTGAAGAGACTGATGTTATG